AAAAAATTAGCCGGGCGTGGCGGCGGGCGCCTGTAGTCCCAGCTACTTGGGAGGCTGAGGCAGGAGAATGGCGTGAACCTGGGAGGCGGAGGTTGCAGTGAGCAGAGATCACGCCACTGCACTCCAGCCTGGGCGACAGAGCGAGACTCCGTCTCAAAAAAAAAAAAAAAAAAAAAAAAAAAAAAATCAACCTCAGGAGTCAAGGCTGTGGTGGACAAGGAAGCCCAAACCCCTTCAAAGGGCGCCCCAATTCCTGGCTCCACAGTTTGTTGCTATGTAGGATTGTGGGCACAGGGCAGCCAGATAGTCTGATTTGATATGTTCACAACTCATTTATATTAAACAGTCCAGCCCTGTGTGGGCTGATCAAAACAGCCCTGGGCCTGACTTGTCCCCAGAGGCTCCAGCTGGCAGTCCCTGCACTCACTCTGGGGTCACAGGGAAGTGGTGAGGTGGGAGAACAGGCGGGGTGCAGGAGGCAGCTGGAGCCCTGCACTTCCGTTCCGGGTGACTGTCACTGCCACAGCCTGGGAGGTGTCCAGAGTGGGCTGCCTGCGGCCAGGGTTTGCCTGTGCTGTGGCTGCTGCAAAGCCTGCCTCATTTTCCTCCCCATTCCCTCACACGCAGTCCTTGTCAGCAGGAGCATCCGGGAGGGACCTCCCTGCCCGCCCTGGAGCTGCCTTCACCTGACAGCCACACAGTCAGTGTTTAAAGAAACCCATGGTTACTGGGCGGGACTCATTTCCATCAGCAGAATCTTCACGATGATTTGTGTGTTTACCTGATGTTATTCAAGTTGAGTATAAGCTCGTCACCTTTGGTGTAAAACTGAGCTTCCGAGCTGGCTTCCTGCAACAAGAGAAGATCAGGCCCCATGGCTCTTAATAGGACCCGAGTGTGGAGTTAGGGGTTATGCCGGGAGGCTCTGGGATCTGAATCTCAGTTCCTGGCTCTGTGACCTCGGCAAAGGGTTTGACCTTTCTGGGCCTCACTTTCCTCATCTGTTAAATGAGATAGTACTTGTACCCATGCCCCATTTCACAGATGACAATCTAGGCTTGCTGTAGGGAATGATAATGATGATGATGATGATGATGATGATGACGACAGCAGCCACTATGCATGGAGCCTGCACTCCCTTACCCTAGTGTGTAGGTGGCCCAGCTCAGGCAGTTTTCGTGTTCCATTTTTTCTGGACACACTGATTGGCTCAAGAATGGGCAACTGACTCAGGCTCATTCGATGGGAGTCAGCCCTGAGATGCTGGAACTATTGGAAAGATAGATTCTTCCTGCTAGGACTGCCAAGCTGATAGGATAGGAGCCTAATGCAGCCTGGGCACTTCCGTGAGGGAATAGCTTGCCTGAGGGGAAGGCAGCACAGAGGAAAACAGGGCTGCTAGGTGGAAGAGAGGGGAATGAAGAGGATATTGTTTGAGCACCTGGGTCCAGCTATTCCTGAAGCCAAGAGCATCGAGACTTTTTAGTTACAGGAGCTAATACAATTCCTTTTATGCATATGAGTTGAGTTTCTGCCCAGAGATCCCTGACTAGTAAAGTCACAGGGTTAGAATTGGGCCCACAAAGCTCCTGGCTCTTGGTTCAGAGCTCCCTTTCCCCTGTCCCTGCTGAGTGATGAGAGTGGTGGCAATGTTTAACAAAGCAGGAGGGTGAACAGGAAAAGTGGACAGAAGGGTCCCCCTGGCTGCTGCCAACATGGCAGACAGCTGAACTCACGATGCCCAGGGTGAACAAAGGGCGGAGGGCTTCACTGGAGGCAAACACTTCCAGCACGATCAGCTGGGCCACCCTGGCGTGGCCTTGGTCTGTGAAAAACTCGGGAGTGTCCTGAGTTAGGATCTTCACGATCTGGGTAGATCCCAGCTTATCTGCAGCCTGGAAGGAGATCAGAGCCACAGGTGGCCTCCCAAGTGCCCACCACGGCCCACAGGCCCTGTGTGGCCTGGCCCTGCCTGCCTTCGTGGGCTCCCTGCTCCCTCTTGTGCTCCAGCCACTCTGTCCTTCTTGCAGATCCTTGAATGTTGTGTTGTTCTCCCTACCTGGCAGCCTTTGGTCTCCTGTTCCCTCTGTCTGGAATACCCTTCCCTTCAGGGAGCCCTCCCTGGTGTCCCAGACTATGTCAGGGGCCCAGAGTGTTCTCATGGCCCCTAGAACCTGTCCTGTGTTACTGCACCTGTCATGGAAACACTATCTGTGTGATGATTTGCTTCAGGTCAAACTGGCCTGCTAGACTGAAATCTCTGTGCGGACAGGGATGCGGTTTGAGCGTCCCAGTGCTGGAATGAAATGCTAGTCCCACCAGATTCTCCTCCCCAGAGGCCTGTGTCCAGACCACAGCAAACACCCATCAAGCTGTGGATGGCAAACGCACCAACCTTTTCATTGATCAGTCCGATGCTTGACTTCAGCCGACGGGCTATCTCAGGAAGCTGAGGGTGAGAGGAGCCAGAGAAGGTCAGCTGGAGGGCACAGGGAGGCACATCTCCTGCACCCCACTGCTGGGAGGAAGGTTTCCCAGGACCCCAGAAAAGCTGGGTGGGCCCAGTGACCCAAGCCATGTGTCTGTCATTGGTGGAAAAACAGCCCCTAGGTCAGCTTCTGTGGGGCACGGGGTCCTGCTGGGCTGGACTTCTACTGTGGGCTGGTGATGGCTGTGGGGCTGCAGGCAGCTTGCTGATCTCAGAGGACATAGAGAGGTGATTTCATTATCACTACAACCATGAATGGGCTAGTTGGTGACACTCCCTATTTCCCGCCATCCCAGTCCCCCAAGAGCTGGGTTATCAGTTGTCTGTCAGCTGCTCTGAAGTCCTGCTATCCTCCCATAACATTGGACCAACCCTTTCCCCCTCTGGACCTCAATTTCCCCATCAGTCACCCAGGAGGAGGTGGCACAACCTAGTTGACTGGTGGTGGTTATCTGCTGTGCCCTGTTAATAAGGATTCCAAGGTTGTGTCAGCATCCAGACTCAGTAGGAAGAACAGCCCTGATCGATTAGTGATGTCTGTCATGAGTGCCATAGTGGTGAGCAGTGGCACAGTCGCCATCCCTGGACTACTCACTATCTGAGATGTATTTATCAGCCCTGGACTACTGCGTATCTCAGATGCCTTTTGATTCCACATGACTGTTGTTTGGTAGAGGAAACAGGTGCATCAGATTCCAGAGGGCAGAACCATGACGGGCTGGATGTTACAGGGAGGATTTTCGGTTTAGAGCTATGTCAGAGGCAGGGTCTGTTAGGGGAGGGAGTGAGCTCTCCATTACTGGAAGGATTTAAACTGAGCCTGATGGGGGATTCCTGCTTAGGGGCACCCTGTGCAGGAAATTCCTATGATGCAGCCTGGGCGGCCCTATTCTCTGTCTTGTGCTGAGGCTTACCACAGAGTCCAACAGGACTATGAATTCTTCTGGAGGGAGCATAGCAGCCACTGCAGCTTTCACCACATCCTGACTCACAATGAAGCTGAATGGGGCGTTGTCCAGGGAGGGCACTGCCAGCGAAGCTGCAGAGTTATTGAACCACTTGGTCACCTTTCCCTGTGAGTCCAACAACTTGGCCTGAGGAGACAGAGCAGGGAGTGGCCTGAGAATTTTAATTCTGCAGCTTACCAAGTAACAACCTAGAAGGAAATGACACCGTTTAGCCTGTTTCCTTTTTTTGCATGTGTTGCCAGGAAGCTTAGCCTGGAACTCAGGTGCCTGGCAACATCTACTCCATCTTTGCCCCTCAGATAATCTCTGACTTTTATTTTTTATACTAGACATCTTAGTTTTTTTCCCATGCTTCAACTTCTCAGATACCTCCAACCCTTTGGATGGAGGGAAAATTAAAAACTGCAACAAAATGGATGAAACTATTTGATGCTGCGGTTTTCCAAAGGATCCACAGAAACTAGTCCAGGGGCCAGGCGTGGTGGCTCATGCTTGTAATCTTAGCACTTTGGGAGGCCGAAGTGGGAGGATCATTTGAGCCCAGGAGTAGGAGACCAGCCTGGGCAACATGGTGGAACTCCATCTCTACAAAAAACACAAAAAATTAGCTGGGTGTGGTGGCAAGTGCCTACAGTCCCAGCTACTCAGGAGGCTGAGGTGAGAGGATTGCTTGAGCCCAGGAGGTCAAGGCTGCAGTGAGCTGTGATGGCACCACTGCACTCCAGCCTGGGTGACAGAGTGAGACTCAGTCTCAAAAAAACAAAACAAAACAAACCTGGTCTGGGATTTATGCTACCAGGATGGTCTGGCCCTTCGGGGCATCCAGCCACAGCATGGCTGTGCAGCCCCACACGGGACAGGGAGCTGACTGTTACTGGGCGCTTCCCGTCTGCCAGGCATGGTGTGGTCTCATTTCATCCTCTCCTCAGTGGCCATTATTGCTGACATTTTGCAGACAAGGAAACTGAGGCTCAGGGAGGTGAAGGAACTTGCCCAAAGTCACACAGCCAGGGAGTCACGGAGCTGGGAGAGAAACTTAGGTCTGTGTTTCTTGGTCCTTGGCTTTTGTTTCAAGGTTGTCAGAGGTTTGGGGATTGGCAGGGACTTGCCTGAGAGAAAGGCTGAGGACCCAGTGTCCCCACTCGGGCCCCTGAGTGGGGAAACTGGGGGTGAGGGCAGATCTCCCGGGTGGAGGTTCTTTGGCTTTGGGGCTCTGCTGGGTGGCTTTTCTCCCTTAGCATGGCTTGCATGGGACGTATTCAGCCGGCAGTGATTTTTCTAGATCAGCCCGCGTGTCCTAATGGTGACCAGGATTTTCTCTCCTAATACAGGCCCATGCTATCTGACTCCTGGTGGTCAGAGAAGGGCAGTGATGTCCCCGCTTCACCCTCAAGGTCGTGGGACACTCACCCCCAGGTAGAGCTGAATGGTGTCGCCCTTGATGGCAGGAGACAGAAGGTCAAACTCCAGACGGTCAGTGCTGAGGGAAATGGGCACTGCTCAGGGACAAGAAGAAAGTTCTGTGAGGATGGAGGGCAGTACTGGAGGGGGAAATTGGGGGGCTGCTTCCAGGTGGGGCTGTACTGTTGCATGGGGGGCAGGTAGGGAGGAGCAGGTAATAATGATGTTGATAATATGATGCAAACAGTGATGACATTGACTGACATTTATCGAGCATCCACCAAGTGCCAGGCCTCTGCATGTCAGCTGGTTCATCTGCATGATAAGCTTAGGAAGTAGGTCTTATTATTACCCCCTTTTACAGATGCGGAAACCAAGGCTGAGGAAAGTGAAATGACCTGTTTAAAGCCATACTGCGGGAGCATGTGAACCCAGTCGGTTTTATGCCAAAGTCCCGGATTGGAACGAAACTGAACTATTGTTTGTAACTCCACCGCCCCTACCAGACTAAAAGCCGCGTCCCCGCACGCAGGAGGTTCTGGGTCTGGACACCCTATGAGCACCTGGATCTCAAGGAAGCTTAGGCTGGAAGTCAGAGGCCTGGTAACATCCACTCCGAAATCCAACTGGCTCCTCTGCTCCCCCGAAGATCTCGTGTTCGCGTCAGAATTCCCCACTTGGCCGCCAGGTGGCGGTGGCGAGTCACCTGACCCGGTGTATGGCCGAGGACGGCGAGTGCTGGAGGAGCCAGGGACCCGCCGCCTCCTGCTCCAGGGAGAGCTCCGGGCCCGTCCTCGGGACAGCGGAGGAGCCAGCTGGACTTCGGTTTGAGCCCCAGCGACCTTGGTTGGTCTCTTCTTGCCTCTGAAACTGTTTCCTCGTCTTAAAATGAGGGTATAGTGCCCGCCAGGGCAGCACATGTACTAAAATCGGAAGGACACAGAGAAGATGAGCATGACTCCTGTAAAAATTATTTTTAAAAAAGAAAAAAGGAAAGAAACGGCGGTAGAATAGTAATTCCTGCCTCATGTATAGAAGCGGCACCTAGTAACGGCTCAATCTGAATGACACCCGCTCGGAACTCGAGTCTTCCCCTATCACCAACTGCCTTGTGAGCTTGGACAGTGACTTAATTGCTGGGAGACTGTTTCATCACAGTGAAGCGGGGTCATGACTGCTACCTCGTGGAGTTGTCTGAGGAGTCAGTGAGACGTGCCTACAAAACACCCAGCGGGAGGGCGTGGCCCATGGCAGATGCCCTGTGGTGCTCAGTGCACGTTCCTCTCCCTTCTCCTCTCTGGTCGCCCTTGGAATGAGCCTCTTCTGATCCCAAACAGCAGTCGGTAGACTTTTATTCTTTCCTGCCAGTTTCCACTCTGGGGGCCTGAGCAAGACAGAGTTCTGACGTGGGGACAGGAGCCTGTATCCTCCCATATCTGCTACGCTGGGGGAGGGAGAAATGACTTCTTTCCATCTTCGCCCTTTGAATCATCTCTGATTTTTATTTTTTAAACCAGATATCTCAGTTTTTAACCCATGCTTTAACTTCTTAGATGCCTCAAACCCTTTGGATGGAGGGAAAATTTAAAACTGCAACGAGATGGATAGAAGTATTATTTGATGCTGCAGTTTTCCAAAGGATCTGTAAAAACTAGTCCAGGGTTGCGTGTGATGGCTCATGCTTGTAGTCTTAGCATCTTCTGTCTGTCCATCCATCCATCCATCCATCCATCCATCCATCCGTCCATCCATCCATTTAGCATGCATTTGTAAGCGCTTCTCTGTGCCAGGAGGAACACCTGCTATGTGCCCGGAACTTTCTTTTGGACTTTCATTCCTCACTAACAATCCTATGATGTAGGGATGGTTAAGCCCCATTTTATGGATGAGAAAACCGAGGATGAGGAGGTAAAGTAGCTTTCCTGAAGTCATGGAGCAAGTCAGGGGCAGAGCTGGGAATTGAACTTGGGGCATCCGCTAGCCTGACAATCGCACACATAGTAGGAGCTCATGAAGTCCTAGTCATGGCGAATTTCTGTCTGCGCATCTTGGGCAGGGATCAACTGGTGCTTGTCTCACCTGCTGCTGGGCCTGAGTGGCAGCTCAGGCCTGGCTTGAGGAGGCCTTCCCTTGGTGGAGTCAGGGTCTGGAGGCCAGCTCCATAGTAAAGGAAAAAGTGGGAGAGAGAGCAGAGCACCTACCTTTCACCAGCTGCAGGAGGTCTGCATACATGCCATTGAAGGAAGCCTTGATCACAGGACACAGCTGCAACAGCATAAGCGAGGGGTTCCATCAGGGAGGGGCCAGAATGCGGCCCCACAGGAACCTGTGCCGGCCCACCTGGCCTGAGTCCTCCTGCTGTGCCCACGGCCAGCCAGTTTCCATCCATGGGTTGAGGACTCATTTGTACGTTCACCCCAGCCTGCAGGGCCAGCTGGGACCTTTTACAGTGGTTCGTCCCTTGCCCTGCGCCCAGGGTGAGCTTGGCCTGCCAGAAGCCCTCCCTTTCTGACTCCTTGTCTTGCTCACAAGAGTCTGTGTTTTCCATGAGAGTGAAATGGAGGCCGGGTGCAATGGCTCATGCCTGTAATCCCAGCACTTTGGGAGGCCAAGGTGGGTGGATCGCTTGAGGCCAGGAATTTGAGACCAGCCTGGCCAACATGGTGAAACCTCATCTCTACTAATGATACAAAAAGTCGGGCATGGTGATGCACTCCTGTAATCCCAGCTACTTGGTTGGCTGAAGCACGAGAATTGCTTGAACCTGGGAGGTGGAGGTTGCAGTGAGCTGGGATCGCGTCACTGCACTCCAGCCTGGGTGACAGAGCAAAACTCTGCTTTAAAAGAAAAAAAAAAAGAGTCAAATGGAGAATTTGTTTATTCGTACAGCAAGTTGCTACTGAGTTCTTTCCACATGTCAAACTCTAGAACAGAGGCCAGCAAGGCAGACCTGACCAGACTCCTGGGCAATCTCTTTGTGCCCTTTGTGGCTTTCTAGCCCAACACATCCCTTTGCTCACCGGGCACTTCTCTTCCTAAAATTGCCAGCAGTCCTCAACAGGGGGCGATTTTGTCCCCAAGGAGACATTTCAAAATTTTCATTCAAAGCATTTCTAGAGCTCACCATTTTTAGTTGTCACCAACTGTGGGAAGGGGATGAGGGGTGTTTACCTGGGCATCTATGTGGGTGGGAGGGCCCAAGGGATTGGCAGACTAAACATGCCATCCTACTGTGCACAGGACAGCCCCGACAAAGAATTCTCCAGCCCAAAATGTCAGTAGTGCCAAGGTTGAGAAACTCTGACCTCACCTAACGCTGACCTGAGCTGTTCTGCTTAGGGAGAAGGTCAAACATTTGACTCACTTTTCAGGGCAGTGTTCTAAGATTATTGAGGACATTTTTTGTCTTGTTGACCACCCCTTAATACTCTCGAGGAATGACAATGCATTTGAGAAATGTTAACTCTTATGAATAACCATTCCCTGCTCCTGGCTGCATTGCCAATCTGGAGCCCAGAGACAATGGAAGACTCTTGGCTCAGAGACTCCCAGCAGGCACTGCCAGCGGAGCCTGTTTCTCACTGGAAAGGTTTCCCGGGGAACCTCTGCGTTTTATCCCACAATTCCCCATCCTTCATTTTTATCAGCAGGTCTCAACCCTGGCTACACAGTAGAGTCCTCTGGGATACTAGGACCCACCCAGACCAGTTACTTCCAAATCTGGGGTAGGGCCTAGCCATTAGTATTTTTTAAAGGCTTCTGAGGTTGTGATGGCTCTGATGTACAACCAGGGTTGAGATCCATGGATTTACACTGAAAAAGATTTCAACATTTTCCCTCCCTCCCCCCCTCCCTCCCTCCCTCCCTCCCTCCCTCCCTTCCTTCCTTCCTTCCTTCCTTCCTTCCTTCCTTCCTTCCTTCCTTCCTTCCTTCTTTCCTTCCTTGCCTTCTTTCCCTTCTTTCTTTCCTTCCTTCCTTCCCTTTTTTCCTTCCTTCCTTCCTTTCCTTCCTTCCTTTCCTTCCTTCCTTCCCTTCTTTCTTTCCTTCCTTCCCTTCTTTCTTTCCTTCCTTCCCTCTTTCTCCTTCCTTCCTTCCCTTCTTTCTTTCCTTCCTTCCTTCCTTCCTTCCTTCCTTCCTTCCTTCCTTCCTTCCTTCCTTCCTTCTTTCCTTTCCTCCCTCCCTTCTTCCCTTCCTCCTTTCCTTCCTTCTTTCTTCCTTTCTTTGAGTCTCACTCCGTCACCCAGGCTGGAGTGCAGTGGCGCAATCTCGGCTCACTGCAACCTCCACCTCCTGGGTTCAAGCTATTCTCCTGCCTCATCCTCCCCAATTCTCCTGCCCCATCCTCCTGAGTAACTGGGATTACAGGCGCCCACCACCACGTACAGCTAATTTTTGTATTTTTAGTAGAGATGGGGTTTCACCATGTTGGCCAGGCTGGTCTTGAGCTCCTGATCTCAGGTGATCCTCCTGCCTTGGCCTCCCAAAGTGCTGGGATTACAGGAGTGAGCCACCAAGACCAGCCTAGCCAGATTTTTTTCATGCATCTTATGGAATACTCACAATTATATAAAGCAAGTCATTACATCATCCCCATTTTATTTTTTTATTTTTAACTACTATTATTATTTTTTGAGATAGAGTTTCTCTCTGTCGCCCAGGCTGGAGTGCAGTGGCGTTATCTCAGCTCACTGCAACCTCTGCCTCCTGGGTTCAAGTGATTCTTCTGCCTCAGCCTCCCAAGTAGTTGGAATTACAGGCACACACCACTGTGCCCAGCTAATTTTTGTATTTTTAGTAGAAATGGGGTTTCGCCATGTTGGCCAGGCTGGTCTCAAATTCCTGACCTCAGTTGATCTACTGGCCTTGGCCTCCCAAAGTGCTGGGATTACAGATGTGAGCCACTGCGTCTGGTCTCAACATTTTCTAAATGAACTCCTACCAGACGCTCACCTCTCAAACGTACTGTGCCTTTTCTCTTCATGCCAAATAAAATATTCCTAAGACCATCATATCAAATCCAGTGAGTGCAGTGGATTTGCTGATGATGAATGGGATGCCGGCTTTCTCACTCTGTTCTTCCTGCTGAGCTTTTCACCATTAAAGACAGATACTGTGCAAGGAGCATTGTGTAATTCTAAGTTTTTGTCATCTTTTCTAGTGGAAAATATATTTTTAACTATTAAAGTGTGATGCCAAATAAAATATGGTTTTGCTGGAGGCTGGGAAGAAAATTTACAGCTGGGTCCTACTTTATGAAATTCCTACCTTAAAACAGATAAATAACATTATTCGAAGAAAAAAACAAAATTTTCTTTCTTACATAAGAAAATTCCAATTTTATGAAATTTTTCACTTTTGGATTCCCTTTAAAAAACTCCATGGATATGTACCTTTGCTAACAGGTCAGAGTCTCAACATTCTAACTCTAACAAGCCATTGTCTTGCACTCTGATATCACACAATTCATTATATTCATTGTTCATTATATTCATTATATCACACAATTCATTAATTCATTATATTCACTTCCTCCCTTCTTATCTCTTCTCTCTCTGTCTCTCCCCATTCTCTTCCAAAAAAGTACTGGAGAAAGGTAGCTTGAATTGGGCTGAATCAACATTGCTTCTGAAATTCACCTTTTAAGATCTTATTTGAGCTTTATTTAGTTTTTGATTATTCACCTATTTTTCCCTGGCCTCTTTAATATGTAGATATTTCGACTATTAAAATAATGGATCTTCCTTTGACTATACATGCTACTCTTAAGCTTTGCTAGTGCAGAAGCAGAAGTTGAAAATCATAACTCCAGCTTAATAGAGAAACAAACGTAATCGTATATTGTACAGTTGATGTATATTTCACAAAATGGAGATTAAATGATTTACTGTATTTTTCTTGAAGGTAAGGACATGGAAACCAATTTGGAGAAAAATAAAAATCTCCATTTTTTTTAAAGCACTCTTAATAAAATCACATTGTTTGTATAAAGCATTGTGTTATTTATTTGTTTAGTTTTTGAGACAGGGTCTTGCTGTGTTGCCCAGGCTGGAGTGCAGTGGCACAATTATGACTCACTGCAGCCTCAACCTCCTAGGCTCAAGTGATCCTCCTGCCTCAGCCCCCCGAG